AGGGTGGGCCGGCTCCGCCTGCTTTTCGTGTAAGTTCCCACAGTGAAGCGCTAGGGAGGGGGGCGCCCGGAGGCCTTTCCTCCCGGGACTGGTCCCCCAGGGCACCCTAAGAGGATGTCTCTGTCCGGCCTCCCCGCCTGGCCGGGCCCCTCCCCTCGCTCCGCTCCTGACCCCCGCCCTCCTGCCTTTTCCTCCGGCGGCGGCTCCGGGGGAGTCAGAGGCGCCAGCACTCCCTTCAGTAGCCTGCCCCTGAAGGTCCGGCTCACCCCCGGACACGGCCCTGCCCGGCGGCACCCGCAGGCTCCGCGCAGGCAGCTGGTGGAAGTCTCGCTGCCTTCTCACCACCTGGCCCTTATCCACAGTTTTGCTTTTTGTGGATTGTCACCTGCTGTGAACCAGGGTCCAAAGATAACTAAATGAAAAGTTACACAAAGAAACATTTCATAAGTGGATTTAGTGACTTCAGAGAGGAATCGAGAGGGAGAGGTAGAAACATCAGTGATGAGAGAAAATCATTGATCGGCTGCCTCCTGCACGCCCCACAGTGGGGATCGAGCCCGCAAACCAGTCACGTGCCTGACCAGGATTTGAACCGTGACCTACTGGTTCACAGGTCGACCCTCAACCACTGAAGCGTGCCTACCGGGCAGTTCGTAAGTTTTAAGTTTAAATGTTCGGAGAAGGGTGATGGAGTCTCATGCTGTGCTCCATCCAGGAATCACCCACACTCTGCTCCCCGTCTTTGAGTCACTGAGTAGCCCTACGACCCGAGTTTTCAGATCAGTTGTCATAGCATTGCATCGCTTGTGTTCAAAAGCCCTTACTTAATGGCCCCGAAGTGTATGCATGGTGACGCTGGCAATTTGGATGTGCCAGAAGAAGCACCACGTGCTTCCTTGAAGGGTAAAGGTTAGTACTATCTGCAGTTTCACGCATCCACGGGGGCTCGGCACGGATCCCTTGCCAAAAGGGGCCGCTGTGTTGTATCATCTTCCTCCAAATAGATTACTTCTGCTTGCAAGGCTTCTCCTCACTTTCTCACTGGTGTCTATCTAACTCCATCTTCGGCAACACGCTGCCTTCCCTTCTCTCCCTGGTACCTGGGACCCAGCACTTTTTGAGCAGGTCCGAGTGCTGTAGTTCCTCTTAGAACGTTATTTCTCATTAGTCTTGGTTTTCTTCCCCAGGCCATTGAGGTCATTGGGGTACAGTGTGAACTAAGGGTTTCTCAAGTGTAACCGTTTCCATGTACATCAGTGCTTTCGCCAATAGGCTTAAGTCACTAACACCAAGGGCCGTGATTATAGATGTTTCCTAAAGGCTTGACCCTCGGGTGCCCAGGGAGTGTTGGCCAGTGATCACAATTTGTAATCCTTGCAGTTGATACGCTAGGAGCTAGTAGTGAGCAGTGGGTTGGTTTTGATTTTAGCATGTAAATTTAGATACTAGTTTTCAACAAGTTGGAAATTACCATTTTTTTACTGATTTTTAGAGAGGGGAAGGGGGAGAGAGAGAAAGAAACATTGATGTGCTAGGGAAACATCAATGCATGCACCCTGGCTGGGGATCAAACCTGCAACCTTTTGACGTATGGGACAACACTACCCAACTGAGCCACCTGGCCAGGGCAGTTTGGAATTATTTTAGAACACTTTGCCTACAAACTGGTGGTACATTTGGTGTTTGTGTGTCTGTCCCCAGAAAGTAAACCTGGGCCAAGTGTAGAATGTAGGGCTCTGTCCGCAGATCAGAGGGACACGGCCAGTCCGCATGCAGATGGAAAACAGAATGAGGGGGAGATGTATGACATCGGCGCCCACGGTGAGCCCACGGGTGCTGAGGGGCGCTCCGCGGGTGCTGGTGTTTAGTAAGCAGCTGTCAGTGGTCACAGCTCTGCCAGTTCTGTGAGCACAGCGAAGGGGTTTGCTCAGTGTACATTTTTGTAACTTACTTCTGTCCTTTCTAGCAGAGTCTTTGTGAAAATGCGGGAAAGTATCTCCCCCCTCATGTGCTGCGAGCTGAGGAGACAGTGGCTGCCCGGAAAAGGGAAGAGAGAGAACGGCTAAAGAAGCATGTCCAAGGCCTAATTAACAGGTAACCCTGGAACACTGTTCCATTGTCACTGAAAGAGATTGTCTGTTTTCTAAAAATACAGCTAGCCCGGCCAACACGGCTCAGTGGTTGAGCTTCGACCTATGAACCAGGAGGTCATATTTCGATTCCCAGCCAGGGCACATGCCTGGAAGCTTCGGGCTCATTCCCCGGGGTGGGGTGTGCAGGAGGCAGCTGTCAGTGATTCTCTCCCATCATTGATGTTTCTGTCTGTCTCTCCCTCTCCCTTCCTCTCTGAAATCAGTAAAAAATGTATTTTAAAAATAAATAAATAAATAAATATACAGAAACTATCCCAGGAATTAAAACACAGTGAGGGGGCAGGACTGTGGCCACTGATTGGCTTATTTCTTTTTCTTTTTTTTTTTTTAATCCTCACCTTTTCTCTTTGGTACATTGAACCTGTCAGAGTTTAAAAGCAATGCAGGTGCCCACTTGGTTATTCGGAGACATCCTGGAGCAGGGGCAGCAGGATTGGCCCTCTTCCCTGCACAGCCAGTTCATGGTTCCAGGTGACCCTCCAGTCAGGAGCGTGGTCCTCCACTCCAGGCTTAACTCCATGGAGTTAACTCCACAGGTCGACGGTCCTTAACCGTCCGTGTGTGTGTGTGTGTGTGTGTCCAGGCTTACCTCCATGGAGTTAACTCCACAGGTCGACGGTCCTTAACCGTCCGTGTGTGTGTGTGTGCGTGCGCGCGTGTGTCCAGGCTTAACTCCATGGAGTTAACTCCACAGGTCGACGGTCCTTAACCGTCCGTGCGTGTGTGTGTGTGTGTGTGTGTCCAGGCTTAACTCCATGGAGTTCACTCCACAGGTCGACGGTCCTTCACCGTCCGTGTGTGTGTGCGTGCGTGTGCGCGCAGCTCTGCAGTGCCACCCCATGCTCAAGACAGAACAGAGCCAGTGCCCATGGCTCTCCTGCTACCACTATCGTCCCCCCCGCCCCCCATTGCTTTTTAAAATTTTTCTTTCTGATGAAAACAAAACACTTTCCATGGTGCATCCTGAAATTTTGCTTTTTGTTGTAAATCTTCACCCAAGGATATTTTTTCCATTTATTTTTAGAGAGAGTGAAGGGGGGGGGGGACATCAATGTGAGAGACACACATTGATTGGTTGCCTCCTGTACGTGCCCCAACCAGGGCTGGGATTGAACCTGCAACTCAGTTACGTGCCCTTGACTGGGAATTGAACTCACAACTCTTCAGTGCATGGGCCGGCGAACGCTACAACTACTTAGACACACCAGCCAGGGCAGAAGATGGTGAGCACAGGTGGAGTGCGTAGCTTGTGCACACGATTCCTTCCTTCTCCACCCAGGAAACAGGGCAGCCTTTCCTCATGTTTAGGAGCCCGAGATTTTCATATCGGCAGGAAAATGGGATGTGGGACTTTTTCCCAACAGCACATACTGCCGTGCAAGGATGGCTCCCTGAGGACCTTGGGCAGGGTTCCCGTGCAGCATCCTCAGCACCGTCTGGTCTTAAGGGGGCCCAGTGTGTCCTCCACTGGAGAGGTAAGGTTAGCGTGCAAGTGGAGCATCCATCTTAGGGGCAGTCCTGTGTGTCCTTCACTGTGGCTGCATTTCAGCCGGAAAGGAAAAACCGCAGTCACGGTTTTGCAGGGTTCCAGAGGACTGTGTCCTCCTCGTATATGCGGGGCTGTTGGGGCAGGGTAAGCATTGTTCGTGAGGCCACGTGTCCATGAACTAGGTCGTGGACATGGGTGGTATTGATAGCTTTTTCTGTTGGTTTTTTTAACTGCCCTAAAAAGTAATTCCTAATTTGAAACGTCACTGCAGCTCTGTCTTTATAACTGTCTGCAGGTTGAGTGAGCCGAACATGGCCTCCATCAGTGGGCAGCTGGAGGAGCTGTACATGGCCCACAGCAGGAAGGACATGAACGACACCCTGACGGGCATCCTCATGAGCGCCTGTGCTCCGGGCACGGCCATGCCGGGCAGGCTGGTGATGGAGCACGTCCTCCTGGTCAGCATCCTGCACCGCACAGTGGGCATCGAGGTAGGCTGCAGTGGGTCTCAGCGGTGCTTGCTTTAACGGCCAGCACAGTCTGGTGTGTGTCATATTCTAAACACATCCAGTAAATACTTGATTTTGGTCAGCGGTTGCCTTTGTGCGGGGTTCATCCTAACAAGTGTTGGTTATTTATTAGTTTATCTTCCCTCTACGTCTCAGACTTGCCTTCATTTTCCTCGTGTTTCCCCTGGAACACTGACTCATTTCAGGAGTTCAGAAGGCAGTGGGGGTGTGATCTCACCTCTGAGGTGTTTGTACTGGTTGGAAGATCTTTTTTTCTTTCTTTTTTCTTTTTCTTTCGTAAGTAAGAAGGCCACCAGAATGTCAGGTAAAGCTGGACCCCCGTGAGGAGACAGGGACAAGCCTAGGCTTGGAGCCAGCAGGCAGGCCCAGGCCTCGGTGCCGTGTCCTCGTCTTAGGCGGGGCTGCGGCAGCTTTTTCTTGGGTCCTGCACAACTCTGGTGCCTGATCAGTGCCGCTGAGTGTCCTTGTCCCCACCCCTTCATCACCCCCCAGTCAGCACCCCATTCCCTCCATGTGGCCAATCCCAGGGTTGTTGAAGGAAGGGGTCTACTTCCAGAGTGCAGACAAGGGGAGGCGAATGGGTGGTGAGTCGGCCATGATGCTTACGTGGCGGGTGGGGTTTCTGTGCAAGGAAGAACTTGGGGATGCCTTTGGGTCTTTGTGTGGGACAGTCCTAATGGTGGGTTTGGTTTCTTTACCTTCCGATAGCCCCATCCCAAGAACAGGCCTGGCCACAAAGCACCGCCGCAGGAGGCCCAGTGTGATCCAGGCTCCATGTCCCGCTACAGGGTCCTTGTGGTCTCCCAGCGGGACACTTAGGCAGATGGTGATTGGACCCCACTTTGCAAGTTCAGCAAAGCCAGAGGAGCTGTGTGATATCCCAGCCCCTGAGCTGGGGCAGGGCAGGGACATGCTTTGGCTCCAGGGCCAGCTGTCTGGGGTTTACAGAGGGGGGACTCTCACGGTACCACACACAGAATGGCCACAGTGTCTCCTTTGTGGTGTCAGGGTCCCACAGTCACAGCGTGTGGGGCAGACGCTACCCGGCCAGAGCTCGGTTCCTGCCCGTTTCTGCCTCTACAGTTGGTCTGGCGAGTTTTACCAGTAGCGAGCGTCCTCGGGAGCCTGGGTACGTGCTCATTACAGGTAGTTCTCCCGGCAAGGTGGCACGTGCAGGGTGTGTGGGCACCAGGGGTGCGGGCAGAGGACAAGCTCAGGCTTCATGTGCACCAGTTGCTTAGGGAGTCGGCCTTCTGAAGTCAGGGTTTTGTTTCTGAGAGCGACTCATCTCACCACGGCGAGTCCCGCTCCTCCCTGCAGAGTGACGGGCCCGGGCGCCTTCCTCCTGCCCTGTGTTGCCACGACTTGGCGCTGTCCCAGGACTTCCTCACCCCCTCACCCCCCAACTCCCACCCTCCTGTGTCTGACCAGGATCCTCCACAAACCAAATGGTTTTGCCTGAGACAGAATTTCACTGAGTCATAAAAGCCATAGACCCTGACCACTGGACATGAAAACATGAGGTTATTGGTCCACTTCTCAACCTTCACTGGAGTTCCCATAGAACTCCAGTTCTATGGGACCAGGAAGGTCCCTCATGGAGTCCAGAGTGGGTCACAAAGCCCATGGCATGAGTCACCATTGAATTGCTCTTGAGCCACTTAAAAATAAAACATCAAATTTGTGTTAAAATCCTATCGGAATTCATGTATGTGCTTAAATAACTTCAGTAACATGAACAGTATTGCTATTTTTAAATGCTACACTAAGTTATATTTTATTTTGAAGACATCAAATAAGTTGAAAATTTGATATAATCAAATCCATTCCTGTGTTGAAAACATTCAATTTGAGTATATTTAATGCATAACATAAGTTAGACCCAGCACCCAGTGGAGGTCAGTGCCAGATCTAATTTATGTAAAATACTGCAGAGGCTGCAGTAGAGATGGTCTGCCTGAGACCATTTCCAGTGATGACCATGTGCAAAGTTGGTTTTTTCTTGATGTCTTCAGAATTCTAATTTCTCATTTTTAAGTTATATTTGAACATAATGTAGTAGTCATAGTATGCTCCTCAAGTTGATCTTTAGTGATGGAGCTCGAGTGGGGAGTTGACAGGTTAAAATTATTTATTAAAAATATTTTCATTGATTTCAGAGAGGAAGGAAGAGGGAGAGAGAGAGAGATAGAAACATCAATGATGAGAGAGGATCATTGATTGGCTGCCTCCTGCACACCCCCTAGTGAGGATCAAGCCTGTAACCCAGGCATGTGCCCTTAACTGGAATTAAATCTGGGACCCTTCCGTCCGCAGACCACCGCTCTATCCACTGAGCCACACCGGCTAGGGCTAAAGTTACTTATAAGCTGAAGAATGTCCCCAGTCCAGTGGCGCTCGTCTCTGGAGTCATCCTTCCCTCCTGCCCGTCAGTGCTTTTCTCTGGATTCTTCTAACGTTTAGTTTTGCACTTTGGCAGTGACCTGTGTATATTGACTCTAACCTGTCTAGTTGAATTCACCTGCACCCACAGTTTAACCAGCCCCACTAACCTGCACCCCTCCCCCAGGGTTTCCTGCTTCCACCTCCTCCTCCAGGCTCAGCCTGCGCTTCAGAATGAGTGCTGTTATATGTGCGGCATTGCAGACAGGGATGTGTTGTGCTACTTTTCCAAGGAACCAGATGGCTGCTGGCTGAAGCAGTCCACCTCAATTTAGAAGCGAGAGGGTGTACCTACAGGGAGGTTCGAGGGCTGTGACGGATTGTCTGCTTCGTTCACCCATCCGTGTGGTGTATCAATACTGCGCACTCAGACTGGGTTTCAAAGCATGTGGCCTGTGGGAGTGTGTATCCTACCATGTGTATACTTATGCATAATTTTAAAAGTACTGACTCTTTCAGCATAAACATTTAAGCTTTTTCAAAAGAAGGATCCCTGAGAGTAACTTGCTGCCTCGGTTGTCAGGTGTTGGCGATGACATCTGGTCTGTTTTCTTTGTGCAGGTTGGAGCTCACTTCCTGGAGGCCGTGGTGAGGAAGTTTGATGACATCTATAAAAAGGGAACCGAGGGCAAAGAGTGTGACAACCTATTCACCATCATTGCACATTTGTATAACTTCCACGTGGTACAGTCTCTCCTCATCTTCGACATTTTGAAAAAACTTATTGGAACTTTCACAGAGAAAGATATCGAACTGATCCTGTTAATGCTGAGAAATGTGGGCTTTTCCTTGAGAAAAGATGATGCTTTGTCACTTAAGGAACTAATCACAGAGACCCAGGCCAAAGCCAGCGGGGCAGGCAGCAAGTTCCAGGACCAGACCAGGGTACGAGGGGTCACTCAACCTGCTTCCTAAGTGCCTAATGCTCAGAAACTGACCAGCACTTAAAAAATAAGTGTTTGGGGTAAATATTACGTTTCATTTCCTAGCAATCTGTTACCTTCTGCTCCTGTGTTTGATGGTTTTATCAATATGTGAACGAACCTTGTTTCTTTACTAAGAACTGAGGTATTTTGTGAGTTTAATAATCAATTTATTTAACACTTACCCATTCAAAAAATGCTTACTGAGAAATGCCACGGGGCTTGGGGCTCAGGTGTCAGCTCACTTGGAGTTTAGGCTCAGCCACTTAACTGCAATGTGACCTGAGTCTTCCAAGCCTCAGTTTCCCCTGTAGAAAAAGGGGCTGAGCATGGTTCCTACCTCATTTTCTATTCTGCAGATTCAAAGATAGAGGAGGGCACAGAAGCCCCGGTTCATGTGGGGCCCATAGGGGAGCAGGGCAGAGGCCATGGCAAGAACTTTGGCTTTTATTCTGGAGGCACCTGAAGGGTTCTGAGTGGGAAAAGAACATGGGAAGTGTTCACGCTACTGTCACTTTGGCTACAACGTACAAGAGGAAGGTGGTCGGGCAGGGATACGCCCCTGCAGGGGTCAGAGACAGCAGTGGCAAGGATCAGCTCAGCTGTATGGACGTGGGTGTGGGAGTCGAGATTGACCAGGCTGGTGTGGGTGGGAGGGAAGCGAGGAGTGGAGGGGGTCAGTCAGCCCAGGTTCTCAGCGTGGGCCTTCGGTGGACAGCAGCGCACACAGGAGGGGACACAGGCTCAAAGGGAAAACTGGCTGGTTTCTGAAATCCCGAAGTGATGGTCCCTGGGTCCGCTGGGAGGAGGAGTGGTCTGAGCCCTCTGAGGAGGCCCTGAGGCCATGGCCGCAAGCTGACAGGCACTGGGCTGCGTGGTCAGGAGAAGGAAGCAGGAAGAAGGTCACAGGAGCCAAGCGGAGTGTTCTGGAAAAGAAGTGCCCCGCGTGAGTGCCCAGAGGCCACACTTAAAACACGGAAGTCAGCAGAGACAGGAAGTACACTCGTGGTCGCCTATGGCTGAGGGTTGGGGGAATTGGGGTGTGTCTGTTAATGTGTTTTGAGATTCTTTTCGGGGGGAGGAGTGATGAAAATTCTAAAATTGTGGGGATAGTTGCACAATCCTGAATATACTAAGCATACACTTTTAATAAGTGAATTTATGGTATATGGATTATACCAAAGAAAGCCAACATTGGCCCAACTGGCGTGGCTCAGTGGTTGAGTGGTGACCCATGAGCCAGGAGGTCATGGTTCTATTCCTGGTCAAGGCACATGCCCAGGTTGCAGGCTTCATCCCCAGTGGGGGGTGTGCAGGAGGCAGCATATCATTGATTTTCTCTCATCATTGATGCTTCTATCTCTCCCTCTCCCTTCTTTGAAATCGATAAAAATGTTATTTTTTAAAAAGTCAACATTGGAGAAATCTCAGAAAAGGGTTTCTGGGAAGTGTCTGTAGTATTCTAGCAACTTTTCTCTAAGTATAACATTTTCAGTTTAAAAATTGAAAAAATAAAAAGGCCAGAGTAGGGAAGGAATGGCAACAGGAGGAGTGACTCAGAACACAGGGCAGGAGGGAGGAGCACAGGAGAGGGCAGCGGAGCCGGAGAGGGAGCGAGGTCTGTAGTGGTCAGCCCAGTGGAGGTCCGTGCGGGCTCTAGTTTCTGTTCAAACACTGTGGAGGCTGCAGTGGAGACGGCCTGCCTGAGGCGTCTCCAGTGACGGCCGCGTGCGGACTTGGTTTATTTATTCCCAAGGTGAAAGGTCAGTTGTTAGACAATTTGAAATGATGTTTTCTCTTTTTTTTAAGATTCGGTTTATGCTGGAGACGATGTTGGCACTGAAGAACAATGACATGCGGAAAATTCCGGGTTATGACCCTGAGCCTGTAGAGAAACTGAGGAAATTGCAAAGGGCTTTGGTAAGTCACTTTGATTGTGACTGGTTTGAGCTCCGTGTGGACATGAGCCCAGCATGGAAGTCTGGGAGGTAGTTGGAGCTATGAGTCAGGTGCCTGGCCTGGTCCGCAGGAGTTTGTGTGGTGAGACCCAGTGAGTGGCCATGTGCAGGAGCCCCTGGGAGTTAAGCATCCCCGAGACTTAGCCTGTAGTGCTGGACTCGCCTGCACATCGGAATCACAGTAGAACCTTCTGATGACTTTAGAAGAGGGCCCCATCAGGACCAGAGGCGTTTCAGCACGGAGGAGGGGGCTTGTCTATTTAATTTAAGCTCCCTGGGTATTTTTTACATGAGACCCTGTCAGGGCGAGCCTGCCCTTTCTTTAGTCAGATCCAGAACCACTGACTCAGCAGACCCCAGGCCCCTCTAGGTCGTGTTCCCACCACCAGCCAGACGGAGCTTCCCTGTGGCCTGAGCCTCTTGCTCTGCTGTGACAGCGGGCGGGGGGGATGGGCCCGTAGACCTCAGACACGGATCCTGGGAGAGTGCCTCTCACTTGGCATTATTCCACATGGTGACATCCCAGTTGTCAGTGACTCATCACAGTGTGCACGCAGCAGAAATGCCATTGTCAGAAACAGGAGGCTGGGGAGGGGGTCGGCAGACAGACTGGTCCATCTGAAGCGTTTCACCAGCTCCTTTTCCTCCCGTCAGGTGCGTGGCGCCAGCTCGGGCACAGAATCTCA